ACTGAGGCTCAGAGAGGTCGAGAATTACCCCAGGCCACACAGCTCAGGAGGTAGGAAGGAATGGAAACAGCGTGCCAGTGGGCTGGGCCACACAGCCTGCTGTTTGCAGGGTTCAGCCTCACGGAGGGTCACCCCTTCCTGGGAAGGACAGGGCAGGGATGCAGAGCCCACAGCCCCCGTGTGTTCCCAGGGGAAGAGGATCTCTCAAAAGCCTGGACTAGCCTGAGGGGGCGGCACCCCGGGCGGCCGGCCAGACCTGGAATTTTCCAAGCAGCCCTGCAGGCGTGGCTACCTGGGAGAGTCCAGGCCCCAGGAGGAGGGGGAAGGACGTGTGCTCCCTGCTGACCGGGGGTCTCCTCCCGTGGCAGACCGTCACCACCCGGCTTGTGCATGTCACAGGCCATGGGTTCAGAGCCCGCCGCAGGAGCCCCGACAGGTGCAGGAGGACACTTCCGGAGGTGTCCACGGTGGGCAGAGCCTTCCGCGCCCGGCCAGGCCCCCCCCGCCGTGCGCAGCCTCCCTCTGCTGCTGAGGAACATCTGGCCATCTTGGCACCTCGGCTGGGTAAAAATAGCCTGCCATCTTCTCAGTGGGCACCCTGCCACCGCGGCAGATGGAGAGCAGCCCGGGCAGCCAGGAGACTGCAGAATGGCCTCCCGCGCACTTGCCAAGGGCAGGATTAGCAGCTGCAGGAGTCAGAGGGCTGAGGGCAGAAGGCTGGTGAGACGGGCAGGGGCGGATGAGAGGCTCAGGACAGGCCCGGGCAAGAGCCAGGCTGGAGGGCTGCCCGGCGTGACGTGAGGCCCGGGTTTAGGCCAGATGGACCCACGGTGAAGTCCTGCCTCGGCCTTCACTGGCTGTGTGACCCCAAGCTGGGTGTTCGACCTCTCTGAGCCTCGGGGTAAAACCCGTCTCTCAGGATTCAGGAGCGGACAGTCAATCATTCTCTCATTGAAGAAGCATCTTACCCAGCATCCAGCATCCCCTCCGTCTTCGCCTAACTGTCCCCGGTCTTCGTCATGAGCTCCCTCCATTCTGACTGGCAGGGCCACGTGGCCAGCTAGGAAGCGGTTCCGCTGCCCGGTGCTTGAGGAGTCCTGCTGCCCAGGGCGGCCAAGGTGGATGTGGCGGTGCTGCAGCCAGGCAGGGAGGCAGGGGTTCCGCCCAGTGTCACCCCCTGACACCGGCTGCCTGGCTCTCCACACAGGGCCTCGGCCCACCAAGGAGTAGAGTCTGGAAGCTTCGACCTCTTGGCATCCACTTTGTGCACATGAGGAGGGCGAGGCAAGGGGGCCGCGGATCTTCCCTTCACGGTGCTGCTCAGGGGCGGCCCACGGCACCCCCTGGAACCCGAGTCACTGTGGCTGATAGAAGGCAGAGTGATGGGTCACCCCGAGCTGGGGCAACCCTCCTACCTCGACTTCCGTCGCTCAGAACCCACCAGGCCGTGTGCCCACGCCCAGGCTGTGGCTGGGCACGAGGAGCCAGAGTCTGCCACCTGGGCTGGGGCATCCAGACGGGCCTCCGGCCGCTGACACACTCACCATTCAAGTGGGGCTGATTATAGCAACATGTGGAGCCCAGGCACCCAGCTGACCCGAGGACCCAGGAGTGACCGCAAAGACTCGTCTTTAACATGAGACCTGGGGGCTCCGGGGTTCCTCAGATCTACCAGAGGGTCCGCAAGGTCCAGCACTCTCTGTAACGCTGCGAAGATGTTCCTGCCTTGTTCAAGCTCCGTCTTTGACATGGACCGTGGACTTGCCCAGAAACTGCGCCATACGCCACCACATCGCCACCTGGACCGTCACTGGGACCTATGCTCGGGTGTTTCCAATTTGAAATGCTGTTTCGTTTTGATTTCTAACCTGTGAAAGGTGACGCGTCGTAGTCACCTTGTCATCTCTGTGACCAATATACCCAGCAAGAAGGATGCAGAGGAGGAAAAGTTTATTTGGGGCTCGTGGTTTTTAGAAGTTCAGTCCGTGGTCAGCCACACCATTGCTCTGCGTCCAAGGCCAGCAGAACTGCGTGGGGAGGGCATGGCGGGCGGGGTGGGGGGGAGCAGCTCAGTTCATGACCCCCAGGAAGCAGTGACAAGACATGAACCCCAAAGGCACACCCCACCTCGTCCAGCCACACCCCACCTGCCTACTGGCACCACCCAGTTAATCCATTCAAGTGGATTGATCCACTGATTAAGTCACATCTCTCATAACTGATCGTCTTCACCGCTGAACGTTCTAGCCCTGTCTCACGTGACATTTGGGCGGTCACCTCCTGTCCACAGGATGTGGCTGACATGACACAAGCTCCTTCATGAGGTCCTTAATGAGTTCGTAAGTGAAAAGGGTCTTGAGACCAAAAGCGCGCTCTGTGGCCCTACTGCGTGCGTTTGGAATGGCTTCTTACAGAGCCATGGAGATCTCATCCAACATGAGTCCGTGAGGTTGACATGAAAGTTACACCAGAGTGTGTTTTAAAGCAATTCTAAAAGGCTGCGTTTTATATAAAGACCTTTGTACAAACACATGATGTGACCACAGAGCGACCACTCTGGGTACGGGGATTGTGGGTAAATTGGGTCGAGTTTCCCCCACTTTAAAACTAATTTTCTGCAGGGCTGGGTGGCACACGCCTGCAATGCCAATGGCTCAAGAGACGGAGGCAGGAGGATCGTAAGTTCAAAGCCAGCCTCCGCAACTTAGCAAGGCTCTAAGAAAACTCAGCAAGACCCTGATTCTAGACAAAATATTTAAAAGGGCTGGGGCTACAGCTCGGTTGGTAGAGGGCTTACCTCACATAGCACAAGGCCCTGGGCTCAATCCCCAGCACCAAAAAACAAGACCTGGGGAGGTGGCTGCGTGGTGAAGCGCCCCTGGGTTCAATACTGGGTACCAAAAAAATGAAAAGTTTTCTGTTTATTTTTGTCATAAATCTTTTGCTTCCATAAGACACTGTAGCTTGGAACGAAAGTAGCGAGTTGTCTATTTTATATGAATTTTAGAAAGGACGGGGGCCATCCTCCCCAGCTCTGCCCCCGTGGCTCTGCAGGGGGAGGGCTTGGGGGTGGGGACATCGAGGTGAAGCAGCCCATCTGTGGCCTTTCTGGTCCCATCCAAAGAAATTCAGCAAAGGGACCCCAGTGTCCACCTCCTCACCTTCTGAGTGTGGATCAGACTCACCGATCTTCTCAAATAAGGACCAGCATGTCCCAGGACGAGGATCCCCGTCCGAGAAGCCCCTGAACAGTGAACGGCAGCCTCTAGAACTCGAGTGCATCTGGCCACTCTGCCTAGTGACCTAAAGGCCGTGCGAGGACACGCTAAATAACTTTAGCAACTGTTTGCATGTGGCAGATGCAGCCAGGGGCCGGGCCTCCCTGGGCAAAGTGGGGAAAGGCAGAAGGGACAGGCCACCAGCAGCCGTGGCCGAGGGGCCTGAGCCGGGGGAGCCCTTGGCTCTCCCTCCACCCTCTCCAGAGCCCCCGGGGCCGGGATCTGGAGGTCCAGAGGGGCCCCCAGGGCTTTGTGGACGCCTAGAGAGTGGACAGCCTTCTCCCAAATCTGGCCCCTCCCCACACCCGCTGAAGCACAGGCGGCTGCTTCCTCCCTGGGAGGCAGGTGACGGATGGGCTGATGGCCTAACTGGGTCCTTTGTACCTGCCAGGTGGCCTGCCTGAGCAGGGGAGGTCGGCTCTCTGTCACACCTGCTCCCGGTCCGTCCGTCTCACCTGTCTGCCCTCATTAGGGCTGAGCCACGCCGTCCCCATGGCCTGCCAGTCGGCACCGCTGAGTGAGTCCCCGCGGGCTCCTCTCTCTGGGTGGGATGGACTCTCAGACCCGAGACAGAAACCAGCAGGCCTGGCTCCTCTCCCTCCAAACGCTCTGGTCACATCGTAACCCGGGGGACCGGCTTCCCGCCCCACCCGGCCAGCCTGGCCGCATCTGGAGGCGCCCTTGGAGCACAGCCAACGTCCACAAACACAAACCCAACCCCAGCCGCGGTGAGGCCAGGGAGGTGCCCCCATCTGCTGGGCCGCGTGCGTCCCCCACCCCCTGCACCTTCTGCTGGCCGAGGGCCCTGAGCTGCGCCCTGGCCTCCGAGAGCCGACAGTGCGCATGACCAGGCGGGGCCGTGGGGGGGGGGGGGGAGAGAACGTTCCGGAGCGCGGGTTGACTTCTGTGCTGCCTGCCTGGCCTTCCTGAGCACAGCCCGGTGTCCCACGGGGCTGTCCCCACAGCTCCCCCGACGGTCTCCGGGGGAGACGGCATCACTGGGCCTTGGCGTGGGCTCCCTACAGTCCGGCAAGACTTTCTTCTTTCTTTAAAAGAGAACATCCAGGGCTGGCAGAGCAGCCCCGACCCGGGCACTCTGGTTGGTTGCTCGTGGAGACAGAGCCACCAATGTGAGTCCCTCAGCAAGCCCAGCCCTGGGAGGCCGGGAGGCCAGGAGGCTGGGACTCTGCAGCTCTGCGCTGGGCTCCTCTGGGGGCTGTTGCTGGGGAACGAATCCTCGGAGCCCCAGTCTGCTCTGCACCAGGGACATCCAGGAGTGGCATGTGGTCCCCGCTCACCCATCCAGGGGGGTCACACAGAAGGCTGCTCCAGCCCCAGGGTGTCAGAGTTTGGAGATGGCTTCCCTTTGGGTATCACCTATAAACCCCGCTGCTAGCAAACAGCCCTCCACCGTGGACTCAGGCTGGGGGTGGGACAGACCCAGGGCCCAGCTGCCCTGTCCTGTGGGCCACAGATGCCACACCGGGCGGGGAGGACCCTGAGACCCAGAGCACCTCCATCCACCAGCCCTGCCCACACCAGGCGGCAAACGGAGCCTCGGAGCCCCCCTCGTTGCCAACAGCCACCTTGAAAAGGGTTCTGGCCTCCCGTCTGTCTTCCACTCAGACCTTTCCCCTTTCCTACCCCTTCAATAAACTCACTCTGCTGCTCTGAGGGACGTCTGCAGCATGACCATGAGAACTGCTGACCCGGGCCACCATGATGGCCTGAGGCCCCCAGGAGGCCCCTGATGTAGAAGGTTCTGACTGGAAAGGAGCCACACCTTGTCCCAGGGCCCAGCCGCAAGGAGCCTGCCCCCAGAGTCACAAGGTCATTTCCCTAACGAATGCCCCCTTGCCTCTCTCTCCCTCTCCCTCTCCCTCCCTCTCTCCCCTCTCTCTCTCTCGCCCTCTCCCTCCCTATCTCTCTCTCTCTCTTCCCCCCCTCTCTC